TCGAGGGGCGTCAACGCGGTGGCAAGCGTGCGCAAGACATGTCGGAGCCTAGTGGTATACCTTGGCAGGAATTGCTGCCATACAAACAATGCCTCAACAACAAAGCCAATGTCTGGTTCAGGCCAATCGCGAGGGTGGAAAGGGGTCGGCAGCTCAGCAGAGGCTGCCATATGAGCCTCCTTGCCCAACCCAGGAACCAACAGGTGATCGAGGCCCCGCGCGGACGAACTCGCGTAGCGTTGGCCGGATAACCCTGCATAAATGTCGGTCCGCTGGCGACCCCAAATCGGAACCGGACCCAACTCCTGCCAAGGTTCTTGGCGCATGTGCCGCCATGCTGGATAGGCCTGCAGGAGTGACAAGTCACACGAACTCAGTCGTGGGCGAATCAACGACCAGACCGGGGACTCCGCCTCCAAATACGGGAACACTACCCCCAACCGCGAAACCACCTCCTCAGCCTGAAGCATCCCCGGCATGACTTGTAGGCGACCCGGTGCCCAGACCGAAAGCGACAGCCTAGAGTGAAGAGCCAACTCATCATGATCCGATATGGGACAGGGGAGCTTGGTGGTGAGCACACTGGGTAACATGGTCATGAGGGCAATGATACACGGGATATGGAAGCCATTGCCAATGAGGGAATTCTTGACCTGAGTGCGTCGTGCCTGCGACCCCCGCACTGGTTCAACCAGGTCCGGAGGGATCCCCATGAGTTGGCACCGTTCCGATGGGTGCAAGGTCCTCCAAGTAGACCCCGACCAGAGCAATGAAGATTCCTCATATGCTGCTGGGGGAAACCGTCGGTGGTCTTGGTGGAACCGATCCACGGCTGCTGGTGTGGCGTCACGCACACGATCGGCAGGGTGCCAAAATTCCCTGGTGAAGGGATGCATCGCTCCTGCTCCATGGGCACGGAGAACTTGAGCCGGGTCTAAAAGGGGGAGGTAAGGTCCAATCCACCACACCTGAAAAGGCACCGGCTTTTTTCCCTCAAAACGGAGCGTCGGGACATCAGCCTCATTTGGGGCCCATATCCATGACTCGGGCGGAGGTGTTGCAGCCGTGATACCCTTCGTAGAAGAGCCGAGCCAGAAAAGGCGCCTGCGGCGCACCCATCCGCAGCTGGCTGCATCCATACAAATAGGTCGGCATCCTAACCATGTACTGTACTGGACACGAACAGCGGCAGGCATGCTGGCGACGTTCTCCAGGAAGGTCACGATCTCCAAACCTGCGGCTTCCGGCAAAGCGCGAAGCTCCTGGACGATACGTTGTAGTTCCAGCGGCTGCTGGGACCGCGGGTCATCAAGGCCTCTGCGGTGCCTATTCAGCGAGGAGTTGCCCTGACATGGGGAACCACCCCCCACTAGAATGCCGCGAGGTTGGCGTCTCTGAAGAAGTCCCCGAAACATATCAGCCTGCACTTGCTCCACCGTGTCCACGTGCACAATATTGGGCATGGCCTGGGCTGCGCATTGAACTGCCTCAGGGTCACTTTCAGCGCTAAGGGCATAGAAATGAACCCCCATGGCGAGGAGAGCTACACAGAGACCCCCCACGCCGGCCCACAGGTCAATGACCAGCCAAGTGCCACGAAAAGGCTTTGCCCACGGATACTGCGGGAGGTCGCTTCTCCCGCGCCAGCTCACAGGCTTGGCTGCCGTCAACCGGGCTGCGACATCCAGAGGACCAGGAAGGGGAGCATCATCACAAGACAAAACCACCCGTCGGCTGGCGCTCCAAGGCGGTTCCTCCATGCGAGGGGGCTGTAATGATTGTCGCTGCTCCACTTCCCCCCGGGTCTCAACGGCCCCCAGGGGGTGTTGTCCCTATTCGGAATGCTGCAGGCGGGTGTGGCTTGCCGAACACGGCTTGCCGGAAGTAAGCTTCACATCGCACTTGTGAATGTTGGGGCACTTGGCCTGCTGACATCCCCGGCCATCGTTCCAGGGCTTGCAGAACCGCTGACCGCCTTTGATCTGGCTCACCGTAGGCCATTTGTCGGATTTGATCTGGCGCCTGGCCGGTTGGGTCTTCTCCTCAGCGGAGGCCATCTCGGCCGCCTTGCGCTTAGCATTGGGCGATGCTGCTTCAAGCATAGTGGGCTGCAAAGCCGGAGAGCGCCATTCCAAATGAGTCTGTCGGAGCGCCTCGGCCAGGGCACTACCACCGGTGTAGCCCCGTCGAACCAACGATGCCATTTTTGATCTGGTGAGAGTGTCACACTTCTCCAACCAGAGCAGACTTCCATGGCCGTACTCCATCGTCGATTGTAGTGCGTGGTCCGCATAGGCCAGGGCCTGGTCCAGGGGCATGAAAGTACGCTCCTGCTTGTCGAAGTCCTGCTGCTTGAACAGTCCGGCCCAACCCCAGGCATAGGCCAGAGTCCGCAGCGCCCAATAGTGATCCACCACGGTCTTGACCACCCGCCCCTCCTCTGTCTGAAACTCCAGCTGCACGCCAGAACCCAGTCTGACGGCCTCCTGAAGGCGAGGAGTGGATTGGTGCAGGATGGAACGAATCTTGCTGGCAGGAATGACTGTCATGGTGCGCTTGCGAAACTCACGGTAGCACCGGCTGCGTAAGGCATCCGAGGGCTCCAGCATAGGATCCAACGTCAAGTTGTACTTGGCTTGGAAGTCCCGTGACATCTGCTGCATAGTACTGTCCGGAAGAATCTCATCCGGGGCATCCACGTGCTTCTGCTCCGAGGCTGCGGTCTTGATGGCCGCCAATCCCGCCGCTCGCGCCGCCTTCAAGCGAGAACGAGCCAAGCGGTTTTCCTTCAAGGTGGTGGTCACCAGGACCTGGGTCAAGGAATCTTCCATATTCACGTCATCAAACCAATAGACGAAGTCCTCAAGGGTCTCCCAGCGGTGCTTGGCGATGAGCTCCTTAGACCATTCCGGGAGGAGATTGGCAACCTGGAAGCACATTGACAACCCGCGGTCGTCGGCGTAGACATCGATATGGGAAGCATGCGTCATGTGGCTGCTCTTCAATGAAAGAGGCAGGACTCAGTCCGCAATGCTCGGGCCAGGCTCATGGGAGCGGAGGATGAGAGGAAGACTCAGCTTCACAAACCACCCCACCCTACACCAGTGTCCACAGGCCCTGATCACATGAATACATCAAACATGACCGTGGGTTGGTCCGGGGCCGCAACTAGCCCTCACGAGGCCGGAAAAAGAAACACGAAAGTTAAACCGGAGGTCGAAAGAGGGGGGAACGGGAAACCGGTTCGACTCCCAGGACACCCCAGTCAGCATCCTCCCCCCCCCTCCACCCCCCTCGACGGACCGGAAGCGCTCTTTTCATAGCCAGGGGATGGCCAGTCATTGAAGCCACCCACACGTGTCAGCCAGGGCCTTGTACAGTGCCCGTGGCATGCGAGCCAGACACCGCTGGCAAATGGCGCTCTTCGGGAGGGTGTTAAACCCTTCACCAACCTGTTTGGGGTCTTGAGCGTAGGCCGCATCGCGGCAAAAGGGGAGGAGCCGTCCTTCGAGCTCGCCTTGCACGAGGTGGACCCTGGAGGCTTGGACAAACCATTTGCCCTCGCACCCCAAATCCGCCGGCGCGTCGATGCCCTCAAGGTCAGACGCTGCTGCTGAAACATCAGACGCTGATGCGGACGTGGTGGACGAGGATACTGATACCACATCGCCCACTCCCTCAGCCGGCGACAAATTGTCAGGCTCAGGCTCGTCCTTCACCATCTCCGTCACCGGGAGCACAGGCTGGGCCATTTCCTCGGGGGTCAAGGACACCTCCGGGAGCTCCAAATCCTCCATCTCCATCAGGGCCGGGAAGCGCTCGTTGGCGGAAGCAAGCTCTTGCCACGACCAAGCATCCCTCGGCACCAAACCGTCGTGGGTCAAGGCAAGCTCTGGCTGCTTGAGTTGCCATAGGTGTAGGAACCGCTTGATGAGGGCGACCTTGAGGAGACCACTGTGGACCACCTTTTGGCCAGCATAGTGAACGCCCATGCTCCATGTAGCGCGGCTCTTGCGTTGCGGGGTGGGGCCTCCAGCACTCGGGACCTCCACCCAGCTGCCCAGTGACTGCTGGTCGTTAGGCCCCAAGCGACAGATCTGGCCCAGTGTGGGCAGGAACCTCCGCAGCCTGTTGAACCCAGCCACTTGGGCTTGCGCCGGATCCACCCCCAGGTCCATCAACGTACCACGCATCAGCTCCAAGAACCTGCCGCGGGACATCTTCTTCGAGACAATCCAGGGGGTGGATTCCGTCACCTGCCAAAGCTCATCGGCCTGCAGCTGAACTGCCGGCCACAAAAAGCCCACATCCGGTAGGGTCTCGTGGAGGACAAAGTCTCGCACGATTTTGAGCAGGCTGGCGCCTCGGAAAACCAAATCAGGCATCGCCCATTCGTAGGCAGGCCGGGTACCCTGACGCCGCGCCTTGCCCTGGGCGCACTTGAAGATGAGGAAAGCATCCGCTTCACCCACAAAGCTGGAGCGTTGAAAATGTTCAAAGCGAATACATGACGTAGCCGCCCAAATGAACATGGCCAGCAACAACAAATGCGTACCCTTCGCCTGCCGGAGGCGGAGGAGAAGATTGATCATCTCCCAAGGTTGCAACTCCTGCTTCTGTTGGACCGCATGGTCGATGGGAAGCAACTTGTACGGCTGCAATAACCAGTGGTCCAGATCGAAGGGGATGGCAAAATGAAGGCGGTACCACTTCAGGGCATGATACATGCTAGTGGCATCGGTGGGTCCTCCGGCCGCCACGGCCTTGAAGAACGCGCTCAACTGGAGAGGTGTCGGCTGCCGCACGTGGAATTGGTTGTCCAGGGCGTAAAGGCGCCAACGCCTGAGGGCACCCACCAAAGCCGCAGCCCTCTGAGGAGATAGCCGGCTAGCCGCAGGCATAACCGTCTCCTTTAACAGTTGGCAGCGCACTGGGTCACGCATCATTGCCCTATTCACGCCAAGTTCCTCCAGATCGAGGAAATCCTCAAGCAAGAGCGCCTCCAACTTGGCATTCTTCTGGAGGACCTCCCTGGCATAGGGGTCGTGTGCAGCATCCTGGATCAACGTAGGGGCCGCAGAACCAGGGCCCGTAGAAGTGAGGTGGCGGATCCGGACACCTGAGGGCGGGACTGTGGTATCCGTCCCAGACGGAACCGGATGAGTGGAGATGCAGGAGCGTCGATGGTCCTCCAATCTCCTCTGCGCCTTGGCCCGGGCGCTGTGTGCTCGCCCCGAGGCGACCGTCCAGAAAGCCGCCACAGCAAACTCATGGTCGGGAGGTAGAGATCCAATCTCTCGCTCCACTTCCTGCAACAACTCCTGGCTGCTACCCCAAATACCAACAATATCACTGCACGTTTGGGCCCCTAGTAAGACCACCAACTCCCGCAGGCCATCAGGCTTGTCGTGAAGGAGATCCTGCAGCTCCTGCTCCATCGGCTGGCCCGGCCTGAGCGCCTCCGAGGGCATGGATGAGGTACTCCCGGACGGCCTGCTCTGAGATTCCCAGCTGCTCCGCGAGCGTGGCAATGGAGACCGAGTCCTGGACTTCGCTGAAGGCTGGGTCCCCCTCCCTCGCTCCGAAGCCGGATATGTAGACGGTGTTGGGGTCTTCGGGGCCATGGGTCGCTTCGAAGGCATCGTGGCCAGCTTGCCAAGTCACTCCAGCGCTACTGCACCGGTCACAGACGCGGTGAGCAGCGTCGCAGACCTGGCAAAGGGCGGAGAACTCGAGTGGAGCTCGAAGATAGCACCCCTCGCACCACCCTGAAGTCCAGCAGCCGCAAGCGCGACAGAAGTCTGCCGGCACGTCCGGCCGGCGATCCACTCGCTCCCACTGAGCGGCGACGAAGGCCGATCTGGCCGAGAGTGAACTCAGTCGACTCTCGACCCCAATTTCCAAAGGATCCTGGCCACGGTGGTTGCGCCGCCACCGTCGCGCGCCCACCTCCCACTGCGAAAGAGTGGAGACCGCAATGGGTGGCATGGCCAAAGAAAAGAATCCCTTGGACCCCACTTGAGCCAAAATGGCATACAAGTGTGGGTCCTAACACTTGCATGTTTCAGATCCCAAGGAGTCCCTTCCCAACCAGACCATTCACCTTGGTAGATAAATGTGCACCAGTCTTTCTGGGAGTAATTACGGGGGGGACATGACAACCCTCACTTGATGTGGTACCACCCTTTCTGTTCCTATCAACCCTGATGATCAGGGTCTTAGGGAGCGCAGAAATGTCACATGACCCAGAGTCTCTGAAGGAAGAACAAATAAGAACAGCATGTGCAAACAGCTACTTGCAGGAAATATTCTTTGCATAGTATCAAAGTAATGTGCATGAAAACTATGGTGCAACTGAGTGACCATTCATTCCCTCCCATCATTATGTCGTACAAACGGTGCCCACTGGGCTTGGACAAGAGACTCAACAAAAAGACCCTGGCCCCAACCCTAACAAAGGTGATGTGGTGTGCAACCCAGAAATGGTCCTCAGAAAATGATCATGTTCCCAACCTCCCATGTTTGCACACATCCATGTGCGAACACACAGGGTCCAAGCCATCTCTACGCAGACGTCGCACCAAACGAAACGAGGAAAATGAATCACAGGGCCGCGCGCACAAGCCAAAGGGCCGAAGTTTCCCCACTTCCACATGAAGCTTGAAGTGTTGTGGAACTAGAAAGGACAAACCTCCTTTGTGAAAACTATACCTCTTTCCAGCATGATGAGAACCGTGGAAGCTGCGAGCAACTTTGGGGGGGCTCAGCATTTTTTGCTGTGATGCATCGTTTCGTACGTCTGGCAGTGGTTTCAGCACTTGGTGATGTCACCACTTGGCTGCGCCAAAAAGCAAAGCGAACAAAATGCCGGATGGATGGATGAACGACATGAATCGACACACCTTCCATTTTCTGGATGGCATGGCCATGCAGGGCCCCAAACAGGACAACTCCTCTAAACCAAAAGTGTGTGTCTTTTACTTTTTCTCTGACGATTATCCACCTTGCTCTTGGTCATCATCAATAAAGCCTGCCACCTTAAAGTCAGCTTGACGCTTAGGCTTCTGTGAGGAAAGACTCAGTAATCCGCCCTGGAAGATTAACATGGAACCTGAAAACCCCTCGTTTGTAGAGGAAGCTGGAAGCTAGTCTTCCCTTAACGGTCCATTTTCAGGTTCCATGTGGGTCTTGTTGTGGGGGTCACTGTGCAGCCACAGCTCGGCAGTGAACAGGTGCAGGAACCAGTCGCTTCGAATGAATGGGCCCCGCGTGAAGGACTCAGTCGAACAAACAAATGCATCCTTTTCTGAGTAAGAGTCGCGAGCAAAAGGAGTCATTAACGTGTAAGCAAATACAACAAGAGACCCAGTGATTCACTGAGGCCAGGGATGTGTAGTTGCTGAATGCCCAGACGTCTCAACTTGTGGATGGAGAATCCTCAGTCTTTGTCAGCTTCATGCTAAGATATGGCAAGAATCTTGTTGATTCACACCAAGTTCTGTCTCAAGGAAAGTGGAATTAATTTGGGAATCGCGAATGCCTCTCATCAAATTCCCTGCTTTCCTCGCATGGAGATTCAGATTTTACGCTCTGGCTCTGCGGCTATGCCGTAGTTGGTACTGTTCTCTATATCAACCGAACTGTTCGGGATGCTGAACACCGAACCCGCGGCCCGTCCGGACTTTCGGCCCGGTGTTCTTCTTCCCTTTCGTTTTGATGCTTTGGCGCCCTGCTTAGGCAAACATGACGCCTGCGCTGCGCAGTCCAGACGTACGCACAGCCCCGCCTACATATGTGGGCCATTGTGCACCAGTGTATGGGAAGGTCTGGGCTCGCTGCGATATCGTTTTTGCTCATGCACTGTGTTACTACGTAGCGATGCCCTTGTTCTGTTCGTAGCTTCTTGTTAAAAAGGAAGCGATGCCAGCGTCCTTGCTCCTGAACAGCGATGCCCGCTTTGTTACTAACTTGTGTGATCCTTTTCATGCCTGGTACAAACATCGCATGTGCAAACAAAAATACTACACAACACTCCTATAGTCGGCGACGGTGGGGGAGAGAAGCCTGAGATGAAGTTATCCATATGCAGGGTTATCCTTTTGTGTTCTCCCGTATCGTTCTACGGTGAATGGAGTATCCTGGCAAAGCGGACATGTAAAGACTATAAGTTTGTGAGTTGGGTTGTGAAAGGAATCCCACACCGGTGCAGGCACTCGGACAAGCCAGTGAATGAACATCATGTTGTTCTATGACGGACTATTTAATCCATTTTTCCCGGATCCCAACTGCTTTTTTTCCCTGCTGTTTTACCTTGGTTTTCACCGAGAATCTCCTTCCACAAACCGCAAAACGAACGCATCCAAACCGAACTCAAAACCGCATCCACTCCACTCCAAGCATCCAGAGAGGGCCGTGCATGGGCCGTGCATTGTCTTTCATCGGTCACAAGGCCGTGCTGATGACTCCCACGGCCTCCATCAGCGACTGGGAGGCCAAACGCCGCACGACGGGTGCGTGTGGAGGCGCTGGTGCCTGCGAGCTGGATGTTCACTGGAAAGAGGCGGGTCTGGGTGATCAAATCACCCACGGCCTTCGTATCTTTACAGAGACATGGATGGACACACTGAATTGTTTCTTGTTTGATTCGCAGGTCTCACCTTCTCTAAGCAAACATGATCTCTTGGCTCTCTTTGAGGCAGGGTGGGATGCTCTTGGGACACATGCTCCAGTCTTGCTCTCTGGATCTCGGATGACGCAACTGCGTGTCGTGGTCAGATGATGTGTCTGAAGCGACCGGAGAGAGGGAGCTTTGAGACAGAGCAACCGGAAACCAAAGAGACTAGAAACGTGTGCCGTTCTCAGCCTCCTCAGGCGAAGAATCGGTCTGCGGCACCTTGCATCGAACATCGGAATCCACGCGAAACCACTCCTTGGAAACCGGTGCAAGACCGCCGGAAGGGTTGAAACTTGATCTTGGATCCTTTTATATTTTGCACCCCCCCCAAGCAGCAGAATGAAAGGCAAGAGTATATAGTTATTGCAGGGTCTCGGACTGGAAACCTGAACCTAACTAAGAAGCTAGGCACGTAGCCTAGCTTATGCTATTGGCTTGGAGGCCATTACTAGTAACAAGAAGCTACTTAGTTACAAGATAATACAAGTCTACTTTGCATTTGTCTAGTTGGACCTTGGAGGCGGGTGTTCTTTCCACCTCGCCAATCGCCTGAGAGGTCGGGTCGGTCGGGTCAGGCACCGCTGGCGTCTGCGTTGCCGGCGCCTGCAGCGGCTTGAGACGCTGCCAAGCCATTCAGTGTCATGGGAGGAAGATGTGATCACAGCAAATCCGGAATCTTAAGTTGCCTGGGAGGTCTTCCTATTTGAGATACACACCCATGTGTTTGGTTGAGCTAGCTATGAGTACCAGGACAGGACTCAACTTGGGGTCGCCCGACGGAATTCTATTCACCGCATCGACTGAAATTGAATTGCCAGGATTGTGGCAGCGCCATCTATTGGCCCCAGAACTTA